CTACCTGTACACAAACACAGAAAAACGCACGCAAACATCCATGCCCTGAGTGGGATTCGAACCCACGATCCTGACTTCCAAGCGAACGAAAACAGTGCATGCCTTAGACTGCTCGGCTACCGTGACCGGCATTCAGTATGTTTACCAGCTAAAATTTCTTCAATTTCACAAATTTGTTCATATCCTGGATTTTTTTAAACAATGCTGTGTACTTTTTCCTTTACTACTTCACTAACTCTTCCTGGAACCGAATTCAATTTGGAAACAGTGGTTTTGAAGACACTTAACGACTGATACAAAGTAGTATTGCTGTTGCGTGCCTCCAGTGAGGAAATGGCGGATGGAAGATGAGAGAAGTGAGCAGATATATAGGAAAGATTAGTTTCTAGTTCTGCGTTTTTTAGTACATCTTGGGCAATTTGAATTGATGCTGCACTTTTGGGATCAAATGTATTCACGACATTCCTAACTGTTTCTAAATGTTCGGTATAATAACTCGCTGCACACAGCCACGTGCCCCAGCGCGTTAAAATTGGTTCTGGCAGAAGTGGAACGCTCGGTGCTACTGCTTTAAAGGCTTCTTTTCTGTATGGCGCTTTAACAAATATCTTCTTCACAGAAGACACCAACTTGTCAACAAGCGGAAAATTTGCACGAATTGTTTCTGCAACACGGTGCAACCCATGGGCAAGGCAAGTCAAATGTGTGATATTTGGAAATATAACTTTAAGAGCAGTACCGGCTTTCATCATATAACTTGCGGCATCAGTCACAAAGAGCAATACGCGGTCATACTGAATGCCATTCGGCCATAGTAAATTCATGGAATTGATAAAAATTCGGAAACTGCGGAGCTATTTGTGGTTTCAAATTGCTCTACCGCAAGAAGATATGGGGTAGATTGTGCATTCTTGTTAATATGCAAATATGCAACATATTCTAATACGGAAAAGAAAAACTGTATACACACGACCATGATTGAAAATTTGAACATAAAATTGAAAAATATATATGATAAATATTTTAAAAAGGAAATATGCAGTATAAATAGAGATCCTCAAAAATATGATGCTTATTCATAACAGAGGCAAAATATGCATTTATATGCACCATCAAACCATGTCCAAAATTTAAGAAATGAAGTAATTCATACATATATCCAAACGAGCATACATTCTGCTTGCAAGAAAGAAATATGCATTTGCATTTGCATTAAAACCCCGTCCCTAGTCATTACTGATCTAATCGGTGCTTTATAAAGGGTTAGTTTAATGTTCGGAATTAAACGCTCCCTTTTGAATAGGGAGTAGATTCTAATAAATGCTCTGAAGGCCTTGGCTTCGATCATTTTTATGTGCAGTCTCCATGTGATCCTCTTATCGAAGATTACACCGAGATATTTTACATGATTGACAAAGGGGATATTCCGTCCATTCAATGTAAGATGAACCTCAAGAAGCCTAAGCCCATAAGAAAAGCAGATGGCCTGAGTCTCATGTTCAAAGATCTTTATGTTCCAGCGCTCACATCATGTCTCAATGCTACTGACACATTGCTGTGACATTAATCTAATCATGTTATCAGAATCATAAGATTTATCTTAAACAAAGTGTTTAGTTCGTGGACACAAAGAATTACACACAAAAAAACACATTGTCAAAACATAACAAAAACGTATTAGTCATTAATATGAACACAGCTGCTGTTTACTGGTAACAAAATCAGTTTTGGCGCACCTTCTAGAGAGCTAGAGATGCCTTGTTTTGCTTCGTTTGTTTCTTGCTTCCTTTTCAAGAGAAGAGAACACAAAAAAAATTCCAGTTCGCAGAGGTAGCTTGTGACAAACGGGACTGGATCTTAACAATTACACCTCATCAAAGAGGCGTAGGTGTCATAAAATTTTGTGTTAGAGTCGATCCAGTTTCACTGATTCAAAATTAGGGTTTGATTTCCTTTCTGTATTGACATTAAAGAATTATAAATCTTTACTACCAGAAACTCTGGAGTTGACCAGTTTTTAAACTCACTACTAAACAGTAATCAGCAGTAACTAGGGTGACCAACTTTCGGTCATGAATTTAAGGGAGATTTAGTCACAACAAATTTTGTGCATTTTTAGCGGTGCGGCGTCAGTCCAGCAAACGTTCATGGAATGGATAATATTAAACAAAACAATTAATTTACATTGTATATAATATACAGGTCACAATATGGAATAAATTTTACAACTACAAATATAAATCACTCCGTCCAATGTGACCCGTAAGCCCTCCACTACATGACATTGCAGTTGGACACAGTGGACGGAGTGATTTATATTTATAATTGTTAGTGTGACGGACCAGAATGAAACAAATTAAATTTTACAAATTTGCATGTTTCTTAGTCCACTGGTGGTGCAGAACTAAGCATTTTTTTATCTCCTTGTGCAAATTTAAAAAACTCTTTACAACTATAGTCATAATTATTTGCTACCATTAGCTCTGACTTAATTAGTTCTAAGCTGCTTTGATTTCTCTGATCAGTCCATTTATTGCTCATCAGTGAAAAAATTCTTTCAGCATGGGCATGTGAGCCTTGGATGCTTAAAACAAAGCCTAAGATCTTAACAAGGTTTGGCACATCAATTTGTTTGTTTCTTAAATCACTGAAAATATTGACCCAATTTTGTTCTATATGTCCTGTTTTTACCACATTCAGAACACTTTTTGCACTAGAAAACTCTTCATACAGGCTGTCCTCATTTACAAAATCAAGATTAAATTCTCTTACAATGGTTTGAAAATGTCTGAAAGAAAGTTCAGTGTTTAAATTTAACGTCAAAAGACAATGGACAGGATTTGCATTTGATAACTCAAAATTCTTAGAAATGTACTTGTGCAAGCAACAGTAGAAATTAACAAAATCATCTCTAGCACATTTCTGCAGGGGTGGATTCAAACAGTTTAAAATTTTTTCCGTGGCAGTACCAAAAAACCTGTCCTCTATCCTCTGCTGAATTTTATTGCCTACACATTGCATTACACTGTAGCATTCCATGATGCTAACATTAGCAGTTTCAAGAACTTTGGCAGATTGAACGAGTACTGCACCAATGTTGGAAAAAAAATTATGATATGCCTCAATAACACACTCCTTTTCGGGATCTTTATCACTGAAATGTTTTTTTTTAATATTTTTGGACAGTCATTCACACTTTTGAAATAACTCTTAATAGGTAACCAGTTTTGTATTAATCTGTCCACAGCTGATGTTAGGGAAAGCCAAGGAGTGGGCACATGATGAACAATCTCCAACCACTCGGCATCAACAAGATCACAGTTTGCTGATACTGAAAAGGGTCCATATATTTTTAAGATGATCATTTCAATATCCACATCTAATCCATCAGATAGATGCATGTTTTGTGGCATATATGATTTGAGCAGTTTGCTTTAAGCACATTTTTATCTTCTTGTAGTAGTTTGAACACAGAATTATGCTTCCCATAATTCACATTTGCATTATCTGCACAATATGAAGTTAGATTTTTTATATCTAACTTTTGTGTATCAAGTGAAGACTTGATCAAATTATGGGTAGCATTAGCTGTTTCATCAGCTTGTTCAATGAAGTCCAGGAACCTATTTTGAATACCACTAAGAGGGTCAAAATACCTCACAACCAGCGGGAATATCTTTCTGTTTTTGTGGCTGGAGGCATCAGCTGCAATAGAGAAAAAGTTGCTTGATTTTGCCGGATCCTTCAACACATCGATGAAGTCTTGCACACTCCTTTGCGCTAGAACATTTTTCACAATAGCCTCTGCCTTTGTTCGGCCACAGGACATCTTCTTAGCCAAGTTAGAGTCATGGAAAATATCCTTCGATAACTTATTTGCGCAATCCATACTTTTGTAGCCGATGTTGTGTTTTACAGTATGGAAAACCAATGCTAGCTCACCTGCAACGTTTTTGAAGTCTTTGCTGCTGTTCCCGAAAAAGAGGTGTAAATTTGAAGAGGTCTTCACGTCCCTTTCCTTTCGTTTATGCCCTTCTGTGCAAGAATGTTGTCTGCAGTCGGTATTACCCCCGTGAGCGATGCTGAACTCACGTTTACAAAGTATACAATAAGCTCTGTAAACGTTGGAGGGCACGGACTTTAACCATAAATATTGTTCTTCCCATTTTCTCAAGTAAACACACAAGTATTTAGTTTTCTTCTTATGTGGAGTTTCTGCATTGTTGCTTTCACTTTCACTACTCATTATGAAAATGGATTCAATTAGGTAATTATTTAAAAGCACGAGGATGAACACTTAAAGACGGACGATCCGAAAAAAATACAATCTTGAAACGGATATTCCGCTATCGATTAGTATATGCTAAACTATCGATTACTATATGTAACTTTTCGATATTTATCGATGAGTACCTCTAAGTCTAAACTGTCGATAATGATGACAGTTTATATCGGAATGTATTTGGCGGGAATAATATATAATTTAAAATTTGCGATCTTGATTGTTAATGAAATATACGGGAGAAATAGAAGGTCAATGCGGGAGCCGGGAGGCTCCAAAAAAATTAGCTCTAATACGGGAGAGTTGGTCACCCTAGCAGTAACCAATAAGTCAACCACATGCTTGCCTCTTCACTACAAATGGTGGCTGGTGGCCCGCAGACACCAAGAACTGGTGTCCCATGAAGCCGGCTCTCATTTTGTCTGGGAACAGGTTAACTGTCGGTCGCGTGAGGGCGCCACACCTCCAAGCGGTCAGAATCCGTGAGGAACTCGAACCCAGGCCATTCACGAACAGGTCGTGCGTGTAGAGATTGATGTCTGCGTTTCGCCGCTTGACAGAGTCAGACTAGAACAAGCCTCGAAATATTGCATTTATTTCTGAATTTTATTTTACCGTTCTTCTTTAGTTGCTCAAGTGATGTAGTGCAGAAATAGTAGCCTTAGAATTGTCATGAGCACTGGCTTTGTATGTTGCAATGTGTTCAATTCTGAAATCGCACTTTTGGAATTAAAGCTTTTTTTATTCTTCTTCTATGTCTGTACTGTAGATTCGATTGCTACAGCAGGGAACTTCTGGGCACAATACATATAAACTATTCATTTTTCAGAATTATAAAAGGAAAATTATGCAATAAAGCCATCATACATTAAGCCCTTCAGCCTGTTCCGATTGATAATTTTTTATATAACTGCAAATCCTATATAATCAGCAAGATGGCAAGGCGCAGAACATCACAATACAGGAAAGTTTGAACCGACATGAATCTTTTAAATTAGAGTATCTATTATACATACCAATGCTTCAACATAAATGGGCTACATTTTCTCCATAGTGTATTTATGTGCTCGATATGGTTCTCGCAATAAACGGGGATTATTTCCCTAAACAGCATTAATCGAGGGTCTTTGCAATGAAGACAATGTATAAATCCGCGTTCCTAGTGATCGATAAGCATTTTTCTGACGTCCAGTCATATATCGCCCCACTCTGAGGTATGCAGGGGTGGTTACAATTACGAACAATTTCTGAAATGGCTAGGAAGAAATAAATGAAGCCCAATTCTCTCTCAGTGTGTAGGTATATAACTAGAAAGTTCTGGTGGTAAAGTGACCAAGAATTTCATAAAAGAAAGTCAGCATTCAATATTAAAATATTAAGTGCGATAGTATAAAACAACAGAATGAATTGAGTTACAGATATGAGATTTCTATTTAATTTGCGCGTATTATTTCGATACGTGCTCCGCTTGTATTTTGACACATGCAAACTGATTTCGATGTTGCTTTGTGTAGACATACTCGATCTTGTCTTGTGTAACTGTAGCTGTAACATCTGACCTTACTCCTCCTCGTGTACAAATCGCTTTTGAGGTGTCTACTGTCCTTAAGAAAACTCCAAACCATGAATTTATTGGGTTAGGAATGGGTGAAGGTGGAGATCATGGAATCGGTTCTCCTCTACTCGTCTACTTATTCGGATATTGATTGTTCGCTGAATGCCGCACAGAGTTAACCGAAATGTGATGGTACACGACTTTGATGGAAGATGATGTAAATGCGTTCCAGGGGCTGCCAGAAACCGTTGTTTCATAATCTGTCCACATCTACATTACTGATTATATTTTCTCTAGGAAGAAACTGGATATGTCGCTGGCAATCTCACACCATGTATTAATATTAAGGTTCTCTAGATCATGGTCTAGTTACTAGGTGGACAAGAAACCCAAAGTTTACAGTTTTGCAACTCTAAATTTTCTGGCTTGTGAAAAGTTCCTTCGTTAGAAAAATGATAGTAAAATAAGGCACATATTGCAACAGCTGAATTACAGGTTGGATACAGGTTGTACATAATTACAAGCGGTTCAAAAACTATCTATCTATTTATATATGTATGTATGTAACTCTAGAGCCCTTTTGTTGGACCTTGGCCGCTTTTCAGTTTCTTGATCTTTTACACAGTCGGTGGGATTCCTTGGGCGGGGGATCAGTCAGTCGCAAGGCCGCTATATGCACACACAGGACAATACAGACACAGAATAATCGTACACAGACATCCATGCCTCAAGTGGGATTCGATCCCACGATCCCAGTGTTCGAGCGGCCGAAGACAGTTCTTGCCGTAGACCGCTTGGCCATTGTGATCGGCAGCGGTTCCAAATAATACACTCAAAATAAAATTAAAAGAAAATTGCAGTGTTTTTATAAGGAGCCGTTTATTTGTTCTGTCTTATCGCATTCAATAAATACTTACATCATAAGTACGAGCATTATTTTCTGGAAACTATTTAGAAGCAGATTAATTAAATACTTAATATTATGTAATAAAATGTAAGTTTTGTTAACTGGTTGAGTAGAGCATTACGTGAAATAAAACCCTATACATAAATACTCGTAATTCACCTTGTAATACTTCGAAAGTGATTGGAATGGATTGATGGAACACACAAAGGACGAACTTCAAAAAAAAAAAAAATTGGTCCGGCGGTGCGCACTGGTGAGCAAGTGGCACTGCTCACTGGTTGTTTGACAGCAAAAGTAATGCTGAAACGCAATGTTTTTCTGACCATGCACAAGTCTATGTTTAGATTTCTTTCCTGTGTCCACTACCGGAGTACATGCCTTATAACTTCTTGATTTTTAGCATAAAAAAGGTAAAACTTTATCTATAACAGGCCGTCGAGGCCCCCACAATTTCTAGCTAACAGGCATACAGATGGCGGGGAGGTTGCCAGCCTTACGCGCCGGCCGCCCTTTACCCCCATGAAGATTGCTGGTACTCATTTCTGTTAGAGGCTGCGTTGACCCCAGGACAATAGTGCGGCTGGAAAAATTAAGTAAATTGAAAAAATCCAATGACCTCACCGGGAATCGAACCCGCGACCTTCAAACTTCAGCATAATGCCTCAACATCTACGCTACGGGGTACCCATAATTTTTAACATAGACTTTGTTCAAACCGAACTGTAAATTGGTACCACCCCGTTTTCTAAAATGAGGCCCTTGACATATCAGTCATGACTGATTCAATAGAAGAGAAGATGCCACTACCAAAAGCCCGAACAGTAAAATGTAAAAGAGATAGGCTCTGATTAATTAAGCATGAAGCTATGAGACGTGTGAGGGAGTGTACGTGTAGCTCCACCATTCTTGACCTCGACATTAGATGGAGGTAAAAGAGTCCCCGGTACCTACTGGAAACCCGAATCGTATTATTCTAAAAATAAGGAAGATTCATGACTTGCCTGGTTTTGGTTGCCGATAACCAGGAGATTCACTATGTTCTGAGACGACCTGGAGCTGAGAAACTCGCGGACGCGCCACGTGGAAGCCTGCGACACCACAATGACCCTGCTCACACTCTGATCTCCGACCACTGTTTGCGTTGTCTTGAGGTCCCTGACGAGGAGCAAGAAATCTCTGCACCTGTCTGGCGGGTCGCTTAGCCCATGCATCCCAACCTTTCCATGGATGTAAGTCAGTGGGTACGTGCTCAGGAGGGCCCTCAAGATATGGAACTGCGTCTCGTAGAAGTCGTCGTACAGGATAACAGATATACAATGGTATAGGTACCGCTCTGCGATGTAGTTGATAAGCCTGATGACAGGGTGTATCTCGACGCTATCGGAAGCGTTCCTGCAGCTGCTGGTCGGCCCGTGGAATGTTGTTAGCTTAATCTTGCCTAGCATTAACTTCACTAGTACCGGTTGTTGTGCAGAAGAAACTTCAGTCGGCAGGAATGTTGTGCGTTCTTGTATATTATTGATATTCGATGGCTCCTCAGGTCTGTGACCAGATCCTCCATGATTAAACAGCTTGTATTTGTCTTGTTGAAACTCCAACGATGCGGTTATTTTCTCATCGTTCTTGAATGATGGACTGCTTGAAATACTGCGATCGTCTATAAAGTCCATTATACTTATTTGCGGTATTACAATGTTATTAGTTTGAGGTTTCCTTGTATTACTGGCATGTTCACCTTTAATTAAGCTGCTGCTGGCGGTGTGTGGGGCGTAATTTTTGGACCTGTAAGCGTAATGGCGATCAATGTTATTTGTATTATATATATTCTGCGGTTCAACAGTGATATGCGAGCCATTTTTATGTGATCTGGCTGAAACTGTAATTTTAATTGCATAAATCGCAACAACTAACTTAAACGCAATCACTGAAGGAGACATTTGAAATCCGTCTAAATTAGAAGTAGATGTGCAAGAAGCACAGTATTTCGTCATAAGATTGTGGAAACTTACTCCTTATCGTTTCAGATAATAGAAATGCGATGTTTTAATCGAAATTAATTCCTGAATACTTCATAATCTCATTTTTTATTTCGTGCTTCACGTTGGCCTACATTCTGTCAAGAATGAGTTCCCTAAATATAACTGACCTTTATGGAAGCATGCAGCAATGCTGTGTTATTAATTCTTTTATTCGTTATCTTCATCATGACCCACGAACAGTTAGGTCGTTAATCTTATTTTCTCCACGCAAACATCTCTTGTTGTATTGGAAAAAAAATATCGCCCAGTGTTTAAAAGAGGCAGCAGAGCCTCTGTTAGTAATTATAGGCCTGTTACCATTGTCATTACTATCTCTATGGTATTTGAATTTATCATTTATGAGTATATGTTCCAAGGAAACTATAACTTCTTCTCAGCATGATTTTACCAAAACCAAATCAACTATTGCGAGTCGCTTTTCTCAGCATCGTTACATCCACCGTGTGAGCCCAAAGACAATTTGATTTCGCCTTCTTTGTTTCATTAATGCTTGTATTTGGTTTTGCACTTCTTGCATTTAAATGAGGTTAGTAGTCCTGGCCTGTCCACTTACGTACTTACTTACTTACTGACTTACTCATGGAGCTGAGCCTTTCAGGAGAAGCCACCAATTCTGCAACTATTCAAGAATTTCCCAGCATTTTATGGAACTCGAAGGTTCATTACTGTGTTCACAAGAGCCCTCCACTGGTCCCTATCCTGAGCCAGATCTACTCAATACATACCATCCCATCCTATCTCTCTAAGATCAATTCTAATATTGCCCACCCACCTACGCCTTGGTCTTCCCTGTGGTCTCTTTCCTTCTGGCTTTCCCACCAATATCCTATACGCATTCCTCGACTCCCTCATTCGTGCTACATGACCTGCCCACCTCATCCTCCTTGACGTGATCATTTTAATTATACTTGGAGAAGAGTAAAAGTTATTTAGCTCCTCTATATTTTAATGAACACCCTGTTCTCAAATACCCTCAGTCTATGTTCCTCCTTAATGTCAGAGACCAAATTTCACACCCATACAGAACCACAGGTAAAATTATGCTGGCCTGTCTACTAGTAATGTTAACTGTTTTATAGTTACATAAGTAAAAAACATGTGAAGAGATTTGGGTGTATGGTTTGTAAAGTGTGGAAACCCGTAACATTGTTATAATTAATTGTAGCCGATACTTGTAGGTTGTTAAATAAACCAATTAACAATCTGAACGGCGTCTTCAGTAACAGAACACGTTACACTGGTGTCAGAAGTGGGATTAGACTTACACACATTACCAACAAGTTTCGAACTCAAAACACGGTACACTGGTGTCAGAAGTGGGATTGGACTTACACACGTTACCAACAAGTTTCGAGCTCAAAACACGGTACACTGGTGTTAGAAGTGAGATTGAACTTACACACGTCATCAACAAGATTCGAACCAAAACACGTTACAATTGGTGTCAGAAATTACTAAACACGCTACACTGGTGTCAGAATTGTTTACGAACGCCTTAACTTACGACACGATGGATATGGAAAAATTGTTCGAACGCCTAGTGGCGAAATTGGACGCCGATAGGAAAACAGATAAGATTTCCTGGCAAAATTAGACGTCAACCAAAAACAAACCGAGGTCATGCTGACAAAACTAGACGCCTACCAAGAAAAGGCGTCGGCCGATAGAAAAACCGACAAAGAAGAAATGCTGGCAAGAATGGACGCAAACATGAAATCCTACGAAGACGGAGACCAATAAGAAAACCGGCCATAATGGAGGCCGACCGAGAGGAGAGGAGAGGAGAGCTGGCGAAGAACAAATGATGGAAAAATTAGACGCAGACTCGAAAGCCTGGCGAGAAAAGACTGCCACGGAGACGAGCAACACAAGCAAGCAAGGACGGCACAAGAAGAAGAGGTCCCCGGTAATGATACCGGTCGGAGTGACGATGGCCTGCCGAGANCAGGGATGAGCCACAGTGTGGAAGTGGCACGGCAGACGAAAACCAGCAGGAAGGTGTCCCGCCATGCAACAGTGGCATGGCGTCGGAGGAACATCTTCAATAAATCTTGGACCCGAGGAGATTATGAATCCCGGATGAAGTTGGCTGCGACCTGCAGGAAGATATTCCGTCGCGCGACAGTGGCATGAGGTTGGGGAAATGCCTTCAAGAAGGAAACTCCCCAGGGAACCTTCGGATGCCGGAGAGAGGATAGGCGCCACGGTCTCGTGCCAGCAAGTGGCTGGAAGACCAGGAGGAACGACGTCAGCGAGTGCAGGCCACACCGTTACGTCGACAAAAGGAATTTCTGAAAGTAATGTTCAAGGATTGGGCCTTGTGGAGGGGCCGACCGCCTCCGAAACGAAAAAAAGTGGAATAGTACACAGGAGGAGCCGGTAACGTAGAAACACCGGCCTCCCTAGCATGAGTGAAAGAAGAAAGAATGAAAGTGAAGGATGAATCTGATACAACTGGTTCTTCTAGGCAAGTTAAAAGGAAACAGCTCGAGACGAGTTGGTCTTAAGAGGAGAGCGGTTGTAACGGCAGGATAATAGTCGCTGCAAGGGGTAGCAGACACAACAGGAGGCCCACCAAGCACATCATTGGAAGAAAAGGAACGGGGATGCACCGTTAGGCTATTCGGGACGAACAGCCTTAAGGAGGGAGCAGTGTGACGTGTTGCGTTATGGATGACGCCCTTCCCTCCCCGCCAGCCGTGACATGCTGAGCGGAGCCGAAGTGAGCCGAGTCCAGGCAAAGCTAGGCAAAGCGAGTAAACAGCGGTTGCTAAGCACAGCCAGTCAACACCCCGCCTCTCCCCGCGGTGACGTAACACGGGACGCCGCAGTTGCTACGTACCGTAAACAACTCCCAACAGCGGTTGATAAGCAAAGCGAGTAAACAGTTGTTACTAGAGACGGCGGTAATAACAGCGGTACCCATTACGTAACAGGCAAACACTACGACTATATAAGGGAACTACACAGCCGCGAAAGACAGTTGGAAGTCAAGTTGGAATCTAGCCGGCTGAGCAGTTGGAAGTCAGTGTGTGATCAGGAGTGAACCAGTTAGTGTGTGAGCCGGAGCAACACAGTTGGAATCTAGCAGCTGTAGCGGAAAGAAGAACCAGACGCATGTGTGATAATCCGTGATAGTTTGTGATAACGGAGAAATAATTGGGGGTGTGTAATACAGAGAGACTTGTATAGCTCCCGTACTGTAAAAACGTATAGACTACTGAGGACAGAGTGAATTGATTTTGGAATAGGGTTATAGAGTGTGAAACCACGCAACAGTGTGAACAGTTTACTGCGAATAGGGTTATAAAGTGTGAAAACCCGCAACTTTGTTATAATTAATTGTAGCCAGGACATGTAGGTTGTTAAATAAACCAATTAACAATTCGAACAGCGTCGTCAGTGGCAAAACACGGTACATGGTGTCAGAAGTGGGATTGGACTTACGTTACCAACAATTTTCGAACTACAAAACATGGTACACTGGTGTCAGAAGTGGGATTGGACTTACACACGTGATCAACAAGATTCGAACCAAAACACGTTACAATTGGCGTCAGAAGTTACTGAACACGTTACAATATATTCGTTTATTTGGAGTTTTTCTTTGTTTTTATTGCACAATCTGGTGTTTTTCAAGGTTCTGTTTTAGGACGTGTGTTGTTCAACATATACACAAATAATTTATGCAACAAAATTAAACATTCTTCTTGTTTTATTATACTACTGTTCTTCCTGTTGTCTCTATTGATGACTTCCTTCTCTTGCATTCAGATAAAACTCTAAGCAAAAGTTGTGCACCACTAACAATACAAAGATTAATACTGATGGTTCAAAAGTCATATCTTTCTCTGGTACGAGTATTGTGCTAGCTTTAACTATATCATTTATATTTCTGGTATTTTACGTACGGACTTACTAAATACCTTGAAGTAATTCACTGTGAAATATATGTCTGTCGGCATGTTGAATATTTACATTTTATTGCTATAAAATTTTTGGTCCTAGTATAAACTATTCCCTTTGATTTTCATAATTACATTGCTGTTTGTTGCATTACATCGCCCTAGCCGCTATGGAACTTCAGTATGCCTCTGTGTCCTGAGAATAAGGCAGATTCCAAGAAATAGAACATGTTCAGAGAAACTGTTCTAACCTGTGTTATATCAGACTTTTTATATATCACAATTCATACAGTTATAATCATGTTTTGGATATCCTAAAATTGTACAGTTCTTATATGAGGAATTCTCTCTAAAAACATATACAGGTATAACGGTTTTATTATCTGCCATTCTCATTCAGAAGCTGGTGGTAACAGAGTTCAAGTCAGACACAACAGAGAGTTAATAGCTTCTAGAATTCGTTTTCATGGAACGAATGCACTGCCCTTCACTGAGTTTTAGAAGCAACTGAAACAAAGCCGATATAACGGACAACCGTTTTTGTTAACATCAATCTTCTGGTATAATTGGAGATCAGCACACTGCCAACAAATGTATACTGGGTGGATTCTTCTTTCACGCATACGTCAGTTTCATAGATCAGTGGGAAAACACTTCGATTTCGTTGTGAAACACAGGAAACTCATGACTATAAAATTTGGTGTACTCGCCATTAGTCGATCCACGGTAATACACCCCATAAGGCCTACCATTGGCATCAACTCGCTAAATTTTTTAAGATATATTTCAGGAAGAAAATTAACTTGAATTTGTACATATACAGGGTGTTTCNTGTATATGAAAACAAACACAAC